AAATGAATAAGAAAATAAATAATTAAATAAATAAACAAATAAATAACGAATGAATGAATGAATGATTGATTGAAAGATCGAATGAATAAATGAATGACTGAATGAATGAATGAATGAATGAATGACTTAATGAATAAAAGAATAAAGCTAAATGCAACGCCACCAAAATCCAGAATGAACAATTAAAACAGAAAGCACACAGAGCCTCTTTTGTTCCTCACTCACAGGGCTCTACATCCAGCTTGGTGCTCACGGTGAAGTACTCCTCGGGCTTCTTCGTGTTTCTCACCACAAAGTCTGCCGGCAAGGACAACAGGCAGCTGATGTCTTTGGCCCGAGCTATGGCGTTCAGCACCTGCAGAGGGAGTCATGGTTCAACTTTGGGGTTTTTTTTTGGGGGGGGGGGGTATTCTTGTTTTGTTTTGTTTGTTTTGTTTTGTTTTGTTTTAGCTTTTTAAAATTTAGTTTTTGTAAAAATTTAAGGACACTTGCAAGACAAATACCGTAAAGGTCAGGCAACAAACCGTGACCTTTTTCCATCAGCTTTTAAGCCTAGGAGGTAGGTCATATTTCATGCCATAATATGTAAAATCGAGATAGTAATATTAAAAGAAAAAGAAGGAGGAGAGATAAGGAGGATAGACGTTTGACAGGAAAGAACGAGCAAACCACAGCAGTGCACGCGGTAACCATCTACATAGTAATTGTGTGACAGCGCGGTGGAATCAGGCTCTCGTCAGTTTTGGGGGCATGCGGAGTTATTGGTATCGCCTGATAGCTTATCCATTTGCCTCGCTTTCGATGTAAAAAAAACCAACCTTCTATTTGTATAAAAGTCGAGATATTTGCAATTGAAGTTCCCCTGGTTTCAGAGAAAATAATAGTGAGAAAATGGCCGCTAAAGTTGTTTATCTTCATCTGCTGAAGAGTCCTTGAAAACTGAAAATTTAGATATTGTGTGCCCTTACTCAACGTTTTTCAGTAAAATTCACTTGAAAATGAATTTTTATAAGACACAAGAGCCAATAAACAAATGCTTTTTTTTTAAAGGTCAAACTAGGTGGGAAAATGCCTTTTTCTTCGATGTCATTGTTTTGACGAGCGCCTGGTATCACCACGATGCCTCACAATTATACTGAATAAACCAGGTCGTGCCGTACAACGACAAAAAGCAGGCCAGCTGTTTTTGTTGGTGAATTATGGACAACAGAAATAAAAGAAACGTTGGAGGAAAGGCTTCTCTATTTTTTCATTTTCCACAACTGTTTTGTCGAAGTGTTGTACTGGAAGATGACTACAGTGCGGTCAAAAATTCGTGGCGCAACTTATTGTCAAATATCTCCTCAACTATCGAACGTAAACTCCTTTTGCACAATAGCGTGTACCAACTTTTCTTAACAGATCAATATTTTTGCAAGTACCTGTTAGCTCTATTCTAGAAAATTCCTTGATAAATACTAATTAACAATTCTAATTGGTGGTTTCTACTGATTTTAAAAGGTTTACGGCTGGGACGGTTTGATTTTTAAAAACAACTCCGTCATTTTTTTCTAATCGCGAGATTATCTTTATTGAACGCATAAAGTATTCACTATAAAAATAGTTTCTTGTAACTAGTTTTGCCTCTAAAAAGTGTCACTGAAGAGCTGTGACCTAAGTCATATGCGTATATAAAATGTGTGTGAGAAGCGGGAAGTGCTGTGAACAATTCTATTTTCCACGTGAAGGAGGTTTGTAGTATTTTATATAACTTTAGGAAGAATTTTAAAAAAAAATCTAGCCTCGATTGGTGTGGAAAAATATGATTAAATTAAGATAAATTTAAACATACTGCTGTGCAGATAATAGGTGACATTGATTTACCCGTTATAAAGATATTTGAGGATAAGTTGAGCCACGAATTTTTGACCGCACTATAGCCGTTCAGCGGTCTGCCAAACCTTCTTTTCCTTGCTAGGAGAACTTGGTGTTATTCCAATATCGATTCCTTTCAGGGTTTTCAAAAAGATCTGGGCTATCTCTCCACCCAGAAGAATGTCGTCAGCTTTTCCTGCAGTGAAGACAAATGATAGAAAACTAAAGTTAACTTCTGAGGAAAACAAATAAGTATAGCTATGAGTGTTTGAGACCCCCTATCACCCTGGTTTTGATTATTTTGGAAGCGGGCTGCTTCGACCTCGCTTGTTGTGGCCAACCCAAACCTAGAAGAATAGTCAAGTCGTTTGATATCAAACTTATCCAACCCCCCCTGGGCAGTGCCACTGACTGTAGTGTCTTTAGGCCATTCCCAAAGGGAGGACATTAAATTCTCGTTCAAGCATAGTAGAATTGTAAATGGGCTGACTCATGTCACGGTCATAACTGTGCCTGATCTACAACAGGGAACTGCTGCTTTTTCTTTCCTGATCATTACTATTGTCATTTTCCTCTACCTCTTCCGTATGTTTGTCACTCTCTTGTGACCTGCTATTTCCGGGGTGCCTTGATAGTCGAAACAGACCTTGTGCTGTTGAAGCTAGAGAGGTGAGCAGTCTAAGTCTGATTCCCTGTAAAGACTTCTCTGTTGACACCCACCCCTTGGCGCTCATATGACCTTATACAGTTGCGAGTCCAGACGAGGTGAGCGTGTCTTTGGTCATAAAATCGAGCCCCTAAATGAGCGGGTTCAGATGTTACATTGAGTTCTAAATGTTCTAATGCGCACGGACACAATGGTAAGATACGAAGTGCATTTCAAAAATACAAAAATATTAATGTTTCCTTTTTTCCAAAACCAGTTCATTGCACTTTATAAATGAAATGAAATAATATGACATGTTCACTAAATTAATATCATTATTGATTTTACCCGTGTTTTGAAGATGGGTGGTTGGAGGGTGCCTCTGGTAGAACCTACTTCTTTACTTCCCCTCTGTTGTTTCTGTCTGTCTGTCTGTCTTACTTTTTCCCAGCACCACATGACCCTTTTTGTGTCGTTGTGCATCTCTTTAATCAAACAAACAAACACACAAATTGTTTTTTAGTGGCGTCGGTGGCCTAGTGGATAGGCTCTCGGACTCGCAACCGTAAGGTAGTGGGTTCAAATCCAGTCAGTGGTCTGACGTTGTGTTCTTTGGAAAGGCACTTTACACGAATTTTCCTCACTTCACTCAGGTGGGAATGGGTACCCGGCTATAGACAGCGCGAAAGATCTTGTCAGTTTGTTAGTGTTTGAGCGCTTGATCAGCTGCTTGCACTGTATTCTTCCCTGGAAGCTGAGAATGTTTCGGAGTGTTCTGTGGTCTGCTGAGGTAATGATATGGTGTAAAGCGCATAGAGCCTGCTGTTGAACGGGGATATGCGCTATACACATGCTATTTATTATTATTATTATTTTTGAAGTTATAAAGGTTATTTTATTGCATACGTACCCATGAGGTTATAGACCACGTCAATCTTATCCTTGAAACATCCGCCAATCACCGCCACCATAGGTTTCTTGGGCTTGGTCACCAAGTTGTTGTAGGTGTCCAGCTCTGCTTTGATGGTGAGACCGTAGGCTCGGTCCTGTGAGTGTGTGCGTGTGTGTGTGCGTGCGTGTGTGTTTTAAATTTTGAATTAAATGTGATTCATGGTCATGTCCAAATTAATCTTATATGCATCTGAAATGTGGGCCATAATAGCAGACATCGAAAGAAAGATACAGATATAATCAGAAATGAGATTTATTTTGTTACCACAATGTCTGCACAGGAAACGATAGGAAGACTGCACGATTCTCAGTGACTGGAACATCTTACTACTGAAAGCTGAGAACTAATAGGAGCGAAAGAAGCTGGTTGCAAAATCTGCAAAGGTCCCCAAACAATGATTGTTTTTGTTTTTGTAAAGTGTTTTACGGCGCTCGCAACTGCATAGGTCATATGAGCGCGCGGGACACACCTAATATTTTCAGTTGGTAGGAAATTTTGAATTTTGCCCGGGTGGCAGCCGAAGCCTACTCTTATCGATTTTAGACCACCAAGGGATCTTTAACGTGCGCAACTTGTACACGGGCCCTCAGAGATTTTTCGCCCTTGTCCGAGAAGGCTAGGTGTAGATCTTTCCTACCAGAAGATCAGGGGAGTGGCAGAAAGACAGCAGTAAGGAGGGGCCAAGGAGTAGCAGTAGAAAGGCTGCAGAAAGAGTCAGGAGCCCAGAGGAGGGGGCAAAGGAGGTGAGGGGGTGGGGGCAGAAAGTGGAAATGGAAGCAGACAACAGAACGTTGCTAGAGAGCAGGGAAGGAGGTGAAAGGGGACAATTTTAGAGAAGAAAAATTTTTGGTCGCTACCCGGATTCGAACCCGGGACCTTTGAATGAGAGGCCAACACCATAACCTCTAGGCCACGAGAGCCCCCCCAAACAATGAACCAGACAACAATATAGGTGAAGAGAAAATTGAAGGACGCGCTCTAAATACATCGGCACGTCTAGCAAGGCAAGAAATTTACATTTATGAAAAACATTCAGGTATTAGAAATATGCCATTGTAACCGAGGTATGTTATGTAATCCTAATAGGGCTCTCCATGGTTGCATGTAGAAGACGTGGCTTTAATTCTCTTTTCTCTTGTGGAGCAATTCGTCACAATATCGAGTATATCCTTCTTACTTCTTAAATGCTGTTTCCCATTTCACAGTCAACCTCAGTGAGGACTATTTTTCTTTCTTTCTTTTTTCTTTTTCTTTCTTTATTTTAGAATTTAATTCATTTATTCATTCATTCATTCATTCATTCATTCATTCATTCATTCATTCATGTATTCATTCAAAGATTCATTCATTTATTTATTCATCTATTCGTCTACTTATTATTTATTTATTTGTTTTATTTATTTATTCATTTATATGTTTATTTATTTATTGCATTATTTATTCATTTATATTTTTTATCTGATGACCGAGCCGTGTTTCTAGCCTCACCTGCTTGTTGCTGCCCACAGTGGTGTTGGACATTTCCACGAGGTCTGTAAAGGAATCCTGCACGAACATGTCCACCAAGTTAAACAGCTTGGCGCGGAATTGCTGGACCTCTTCTGTGATTTGTAGATTATAATTAGTCGCTTTTAAGCCCGAGGGGGCTATCTCAAAAAATGTTATTTTGAGAAAATTGAAGGAAAAGTTGTTACCCTTGTTCAGTGTCTTTTAAAGACAAGGAGAGCTTCCCCTATAACCAAACAAATATACACACTAATGAAACCAAACTTCTCCTCCTATAGGTAGGGCAATGCACACTTTTGGTGAAGGTCAAGATTTCTGGAAACGCTCGAAATCTGGTTAAGCCCGCTTGTCCTTAAAAGAGATCAATTATATAAGGAAATATTTTACGTCCCCCCCCACCCCCTCCCCCCTCTTTCCACTCCCCTCGTTTTGAGAGAATCTGATTATTTGATTTTGTAGCAGGGCTATTTTGATCCTTCGAGCCAGGAACCCGCCGCTACCCCCGCCCCCACACTTCTTTCTCTTTCTCTCTCTCTCTCCCTCCATCTCTCTCTCTCCCTCTCTCTCTCTCTCTCTCTCTCTCTCTCTCTCTCTCTCTCTGTCTGCCTATTTGTCTTTTTGTCTGTCCGCTTTGTCTGTCTGTCCCTGTCTCTGTCTCTCTCTCTCCCTCCCTCTCTCTCTTTCTCTCTCTCTCTCTCTCTCTCTCTCTCTCTCTCTCTCTCTCTTTCTTTCTTTCTCTCTCTCTTTAAATCCCCCCTCTCTCTCTCTCTTTCTATACTGTTGAAAAGCAAACAAATATAATAATATATTATGTTTTACTGACCTTTGGTGCAGGTGAACTCTTTCCCATTGGCGTCTATCCCAGAACCGTCTTCCTCTGGGTTGAAGCGCATGTTCTCCAGCACGAACACCGAGCCAGGCTCCGGGTCCTCGCACAAAGCTTGAGCCTACACAGAGAAAGGACATCACATTAAATTGGTCGCATTTTAGGACAAGCGGACTAACCCAGATTTCGGGGGTTTCCAGAAATCTTGACCTACACCCAAAAAGTATAGCAGAAGTTTGGTTTCATTAGTGTGTATATCTGTTTGGTTATAGAGAAAACCCTCTTTGTCTTTTAAAGAAACTGAACAAGGGTTCACAAACTTTACCTTCGATTTTCTCAAAACAGCATTTTTCAGGATAGCCCCCTTGAGCCTTAAAGCGACCATTTTTGAAATAGTCATTTGAAGAACCCCCTCTCCCCCTCCCCCCCCTCTCTCTCTCTCTCTCTCTCTCTCTCTCTCTTTCTCTCTCAAACCTCTTTCCCCTTATTAATTTAAACATTAATTTAGACGACTTAGGAGGCAGGTTTTGAACGTACCTGTCAGGGCCTATGCGGGCTGAGAGGGATAAAACATCTGACAGAGTAGAAAGATCGAAATACTCCATAGAATTCTCCCTACACGCCAATCGAACTCTGTTGTTTTTTTTGCGTGCGATGGAAAAGCGTAAAACCACTACATTACAGGCGTCGATTTAAAAAGCTTGCCACCTGGCATGCATGTACATTTTCACGTACAGTATGCACGTACATTGACTCTCGTAATTGGTCGCTTTTAAGGACAAGGGGGCTGTTCCCCCAGAAATGCTGTTTTGAGAGAATCGTATGTAAAGTTTTTGCCCCTTGTTCAGTTTCTTTAAAATATATGGAGAGTTTATTTCTATAGCCAAACAAATATAGACACCAATATAACCAGACTTCTCTTATAGGTCGGGCAATGCACATTTTTGGTGTAGGTCAAGATGTCTGGAAACCCCTGAAATCTGGATTAGCCCGCTTGTACTTAAAAGCGACTAATTATTATAGTCCCATGTGCTTTTAACCACCACCCCCTCCCCCTCGCAGTCTTCCCCCATTAATACAAATGTAATAAAAGAATAAATACAGAAAACAACATTGATATCATATCAGGAAATGGGCTGCTTCTTCCTCACCCGTTACGGCCAAAATGTAAGAGCTAAGTGGATACAGTATTATTGCAGAAAGACACAGCATATTACTCGATGTCCTTCTCTCTCTCCTGTCCCACCCCACCCACTTCAACCCCCACCTCTTTTTTTCGCCCCTTGGAATCGAACCCACGTTGTCTTCTACGTTCAAAAGTGGACAAAGACCAAACAGCTGCGCCACAAACAACGTCAGTTCATGGCGTGTGCGCTCACCTCTGGCCCTACGCAGTCCTCCAAGAAAACGACCTCTTTCTTGAGCATCTTTCCAAGTTCTCCCGCCACCTTTTTCAAAGACAAGTTGTCATCTCGTCGACCCCTGGGTTCACCTGTAACAACGTCATCAATTACCAAGTCGTTGTCAAAGCAATATAAGTATAAGATAAGATAAGATAAGATTATACTTTATTATCTCAGAGGGAAATTTTTCTTAGCTGTACAGGACCGTAAAAACACACGCAGGAATACATATTGTCAGCCATACTTCTCCTTTCATATTGAATTTTAATGAGAGTAATATAATATATAATTTACATTTTTTAATGTATACCTGCATGTGTTTTTACGGCCCTGTACAGACAAGGAAAATTTCCCTCTGAGATAATAAAGTACTATCTTATCTTATCTTATCTTATTGAAACATTCAGGTCATAACAACGCGCAAAATGGAAAAAAAGAGAGGCGTAAGGGAGGTGGAGGGTAGGTTGATCTCACCCCAAACTTATTGGTTATACAGCACTCTCCAACGAACTTTTTCTTTTGGGGGGGGGGGTGTTTTCCGTCGCTCGCAACTGCATAAGGTCATGGGAGCGCGCGGAATACCACTAATATTTTCAGTTAGTAGGAAATTTTGAATTTTGCTCGGGTGGCGGCCGAAGCCTACTCTTATCAATTTTAGACCAACAAGTGATCTTTAACGTACGGAACATGCATTCGGGCCCTCTGAGATTTTTTTGCCCTTGTCCGAGAAGGCTAGGTGTAGATCTTTTCTACCAGAAGATCAGGGGTGTGGCTGAAAGACAGCAGTATGAAGGGGCCGTGGAGTAGCAGTAGAAAGGTTGCAGAAAGAACCAGGAGCCCAGCGGAGGGGAAAAAGGAGGTGAGGGGTGGGGGCAGAAACAGGAGACAAAAGCAGGCAACAGAACATTCATGCTAGAGAGCAGGAAAGAAAACGAAAGAAGACAATTTTAGAGAAGAAAATATTTCGGTCCCTACTTGTTTTCGAACCCCGTACCTTTGAATGAGAGGCTCACACCTTAACCTCTCCCCCATGAGAGCCACCTACAACGAAAGTAAACAGAAAGAACAACGACACACAACACTTATTGGGGGGAATTTTCGCAAACATACATGCTTTTTTAGTTTTAGTTTTAGTAGAGGTTTTTCGGCGCTCGCAACTGCATACGGTCATATGAGCGCCAGAAGATTAGAGGTGTTACAAGAGAGTAACAAACATAAAAAAGAAGGAGAGGAGATAAGGACGATATATGTTTCATAGGAAAGAAGAAGCAACATACATGCATGTTCTACCTACCACAATAGCTGGCGATAATGATAGCTTTGGCGTCCTTGCTAAGTATGTACTCTATGGTCGGCATAATCTGAGCCAGTTTTCCCTTCACGTCATTGGACTGGGGATGAAAGCCAAAATCCGCAAATGGTGTTTTAAAAAAATATTAATAGTATGACAATCATCCATAAGCATTATAATGTGTGTATGTGTGCGTGTTTGTGTGCGTATGTGTGTGAGTGTGTGTGTGTGTGTGTGTGTGTGTGTGTGTGTGTGTGTGTGCGCGTGTGTGTGCGTGTGTGTGTTTGTGCGTGTGTGTGTGAGTGAGTGTGTGTAACAACGTGGTGGAATCAGGCGCTCGTCAATTTTGGGGCCTTTAGAGTTATTAATATCATCTTAAAGCTTGTTTATTTTTCTTGCATTTAGCGAAAAAAATGTTTAACTGCCTTGAAAAGAAGTTGAGATACTTGCTACTGAAGAAGAAAGGGTCACCTCGTTTCTGAGATAAAATTATCGAGAAAATGGCCGCCAACGTTTGGTGACTTCCATTGCGTGATTGTCCTTGGGAAATAAATATTTACATTTTTTGGTCCTTTAATCAATGTTTTTTAGTAAATCCACACAAAAATGTGCTGTTAAATGGACATAAAAAGTGTTGAACGAAAACAAAATAATAAATCGAAAATAATTAAAGAACCGGCGGAAAAAAATGCTGTTTTCTTCGATTTCATTATTTTGACGAGAGCCTGATTCCATCACGATGACTCACATAGATAAATAGATAGATAGATAGATAGATAGATAGATAGATAGATAGATAGATAGATAGACAGATAGATAGAAAGATAGATAGATAGATAGATAGATAGATAGATATATAGATAGATAGATAGATAGATAGATAGATAGATAGATAGATAGACTGATATATATATATATATATATAATTATATATATATATATATATATATATATATATATATATATATATATATATATGTATATATATATATATATACATATATATAAATAGAGAGAGAGAGAGAGAAACATAGAGAGTTAGAGAGAGATACAAATGTTGAGACGAATACTTTCTATCTTTTGAATATCGATAGGTTTACCTACACTTCGACACAATGTTGATAGTAGGAGGGCCTCGACCTTGCTTAAAACTCTTTGAATCTGGATCGCAACTAAAGTGGTATTTTGAGGGCACGGATCTCGTCAACCCGTCAATATACTACCATTTTCACCCATATCGTTATTTTCTACCACATTGTGACTAGTCTGAGTACTTACAGAAACAAATCGATCAACTGATTGAATTTTAGATCTAGCCGATTTAGGGTAACACGCTATGGCGTTTGGATGCGTAAAGTTGTGGAATTTCTTGAGTACTGAAAGAATCAAGGAGGCCAACACGGCCTGAAGGCTTGCAAAGTCCCGACAGGAAGACCGAGGACACTCGATAAGATTTCTCACCGCGCGGGGAGACGAACTTAGGTAATGTTCCGTCAGAATATGGCCTTGCGCTTAACAGCCACACCACTGACCCCGGTTCCATGAGCTGTGTGGTTGGTTATGTTATCCATGCACTCACTTTAGCAGACATTATAATTCTATTATGTACGAATGGATGGCAAGCAAAGATCGTTCTTAACAAGATAGTTCATTCGGCCAAAAAAAAGTCCGCGGAAGTCCACGATTTGGTTTAGATGGCGCTGCAGCCGTTGTTTTCAAGCTCTCTTTCGTTTCTCCAGAAGAAGAATACGAAAAGCTCAGTTTTTTTAGTTTCGCTTTTATTGTTTTTCACACAAGTAGGACAACTCTGTTCACAACGTCTGCACTTTGTCGAAGAGGGCGCCACCGGATTTTGGGGACACTTTTCAATTGGCTTAAAGAGAGAGAGGAGTGAACTATCTTGTTATATACGATCTTTGCGGCAAGACAACCTGGGAATAGTCCAGATCGCACCGCAAGAAGACTCGCTCCTCGGTGAGGTCCATCTTGTCTATACTGAGCCGCTGAACTGGTTTGAGCTGAAAGGGTAAAATGATCGATTTTAAGGACTAGCGGGCTAATCCGGATTTCGGGGGTTTCCAGAAAACTTGACCTACACCAAAAGTGGGCATTGCCCTACCTATAGCAGAAGTTTGGTTTAATTGGTGTGTATATCTGTTAGGGTATAGAGAAAACTCTCCTTGTCTTTTAAAATCAACGAAGGTTGAAAATCTTTACCTTCGATTTTCTCAAAAGAGCATTTTTCGGGATAACCCGCTGTGCTTAAAAGCGACCATAAGGCTTTTCTGTAGCGGGTTGGGCATTTCTGTGACATATCTTCTCTCTCTTTCTCTCTCTCCCTCTCTCTCTCTCTCTCTCTCTCTCTCTCTCTCTCTCTCTCTCTCTCTCGCTCTCGCTCTCTATGTTTGTGTACGTGTGTGTATGCGTGTGTATGTGCGTGCGTGTATGTATGTGTGTGTGTGTGTGTGTGTGTGTGTGTGTGTGTGTGTGTGTGTGTGTGTGTTTGTGTGTGTGTGTGTGGCGATATTGAAAGGGGGTGGGGGGGGGGGGGGCTTAAATCGTACAATATGGACCATCGACTAACATCTCGGAGCTTAGATTGTTTTAGGGAGTTTTCAAGTTCAAGGACCTCTGTGCCCATTTGGCTCGACCCTATGGGAGATGGACGAAAAGGGTGCGAGAGGGGGGGAGGGGGGGTTTGGCTTCACCCTAAAAGACACCATTCGGGTCAAAATTTCGGATTTCGAGCCGAAGGCATTTTTTAGCCTCTGCAGCCTCTCATACAACTATTTCATCGTATAAAAACCCTTTAAAAAGACTCTATTTTTTTCACATTCCAGGGATGTTAGTCACCATCATATCCTCTTAAAGTCAATGTTTTATTTATTTTTTCATTGCCCGTTTTCTCAAAACGCGATTGTTTTACATACTTTTAAAAATAACTCCACTATTTGTCATCCAATCTTCATGACATTTTTAAACAGAATTAAGAAAAAAATATTTTCGATACATTAATTAGATTTTTTGAAGTGTCTGGAGTGTGGATTTTCACTAATTTTTTTTTGCAACCTTCAATATTACCTCGGGAAAAAAAATCACCAAAAATTTTATAATTCGTTCAGGAAACATTCAAAAGACAGATCTGCAGTTCTATTGTCTGTTTGCATGCAATCCCCCCTCCCCCCCCTTTCTTTCCTCACACACAGAGAAAAGAACAACAACAGCAAACTATTTCCATTAAAAAATAAGTGCGGTATTCACTGCGTAAGACCTGTCAGCAAAATCCAATATGGCCGCCGTGTCCATGGCAACGAAACTTTTCTTCTCAAATATGAGTGCGGATTTTAAGACTCCTCATTATGCTAATTATATATCAGGTGAAATTTGGTAAAATTTGATCCACTAATATCCCCTCCCCTTTTTTTTTTTATCGGGTGGGCCCACCTCATAAATAACGTTACCACGTTGAAACAGGCAGGGTGGTGTCAAATACTTATACTAGAGCTCGTGGGGAGAAGGGTGGGGGCTCAGATTGTTCATCTAATGGGGGCACGCCGGCCATGCCGATGAGGGTCAGAAGGCCCTCCATGCCTGACACGTGTGGGGTCACTGCTGCGAGCTCTAAGTGACAATGAGCAAAGATGACCACAGAGTTTACCTTAGCATCCGTGTCTGGTTTCCTGTTAAAGAGCCAGAGGTAATACTCGTTACAGTCCACGACTTTCTTCGGTACGGCCAGCTTCTCCAGGCGCCTGGTGGCTTTGGCCTGCAGTTCAGAGCATAACACGATTTTTAGGTGTGTCTTTATTAAGACAAGATAAGATAGAATAAGATAAGACAGGACTTTATTATCCCAAACGAACCCAAACGGAAATTTTTCTTTCCTCTACAGGGCCGTTAAAATGACATGCAGGTATACATAGCAAATTTGATTATATATAAAAAAAAGAAGACTAAAGCTGACAAAATGTACATACATCACTTCAGATGCATTATTCAACCACGTGCAGGAATTTAATTACAAGACCTTTAGAGATATTTATAGATAAATACTCCTACAGGCTACTTTATGTTTTGCCCATTTGGCGGCGAGTAGAGAGAAAGAGCAATATTTTTTTAAATACACTCAAGCGTACTTTGTTGTTCTTCCATTTTCTTTTTGCAGATATGAATTGGTAATAATTTGTAGGATGGTGTTTTAACGCCAAAATAAAAGAAATTTAGATCAATTAAGAGGTAAGCTTCACATGGTAAAAGATCAAGGGGAAGACCTCATGGAACCTGGAGAAGATACACGGAAATGGATGTACAGAAATGTGGGAAGACGTGGAGTGACATCAAGCGACTAGCCCAGGATGGGGAAAGGTGGAGAGTGTTTGTTGGTGGCCTATACCCTGACCCAGGGCGAGAAAGGCAACGAGGATGATGATGATGAAGAGGTAAGCTTCGACCCTGCTTATCATGGCCAACCCAGCCAGACAGACGACGTGCCTGCAGAAAGACCGACATACTTGATAAAAATTGTCCCCATACGGGAATCGAACTCGCGTCTTCTCTGTGCGACGGCAAAGCGCCTAAATCGCCAGGCCACAAACAAAAATATAAATTGCTCAATTTGAAAGTGTGTGAGGGGGGGGGGGTTAGGGGTGGGGGGTAATCTATACATATTACATTTGTGAAAGCTCGTCACTTTCGCAGCCTAAAACTTCCGAACACCTTAACTTTCGAATTTGAAAAAAATAACGGTGGGTCAAAATCATTTAAAGGGTGCTCAGTTTTACTGAGATGTCTGAAGTCACTGTAGTTTAATTTTCAGTTTTTCATTAGTTTCGTTTGGATCTAATCTTGGGAAAGTTCATCTTCTAAGATGCCCTTGTAAACAAGTGAGGCTTCCGTTCTCAAAGAGTGCGTGCACTGATCCCACAATGACTTGATGATCGATTTTTTTGAGTCCGTTTATCGAACGCAAACCCACCTGTATTATCTGTTATTATCTGTCCTGGGCAACAACGTCATTGCACACCGGACAGGTCCATAAGTGGTCTGTTCCCCCTGCACCAAAACCCGCAAGGTATCCATACTGATTGTTCCGGTGGCTGTCTGATTATGGCGACGTCTTTCCATTCAAGATAATCGTTCCTTTCTTCCTTCTCCACTCTCTATCCCCATTTCCCGCATCCTGATGATTGCATAGTGTTCTGACGTCTCCCTGTCTTCTTCATCCCATAACTTTTCTCCAGGGTCTTCAACACTTCTCCTTTGTCAAATTTCTCCTCACCATCAAACTGCCAGCCTATCAGCCTCCTCATTGCCTTTCACTCTAGAGTGCCCAGGACAGAAAATCCACGTGATGGCTCTAAGTGATGAGTGTTGTATTGGGTATATCCATTCACTCCGAAGAAGCCCTTTCTCAACCCTTTGCAAAATGCTCTGGGAGTCTGTGACAATGATGAGATGAGTAGTTCTTGGTCTTGTATTATGAAGCCATCCAAGCGCTCTTGGTACGGCCTCAATCTCCATCTTCATGCTTCAAGTTGGTCTTTCTATGGCCCCTGACATGCCATGAACCTTTTATTTCCCACTGTACACCACAAAACATCATCCACTCCTCTCACCCCTCCTGACTGATCCATCCGTATAGATCACTGGGTCATCTGGCTTGGAATGCTCCTCAATTAACTGTCGTATATCATTGTCGTTAATGACAGTAGCACATTCCCGTCTTTCACGACCCACAGTGATGTGAACGTTGGCCAGGCTTTTGCATTCGGGGCTCAGTTCAAACCATTAAGAGGTAAGCTTCGACCGTGCTTATCAGGGCCAACCCACGTTGGTCTTTCTTCCTTCTCCCCTCTCTGTCCCCATTGTGAACCCAGCTATCTATTATATATTTGGCAACTTGGAAATACCTGTGTCACTTTTCCCATAAAACTGCGACAGTTACAGAGTTGAACGTTGGCGAGTACCTACAAAAAATAGGTCCCCATGACGGAGCCCGATTTTGTATTTATTCATCTCCTGAATTTAGAAAAATATATTTGACAAAAAGTTCCCGTCCTTCTTTGGCCTTTGTATCTATTCTACTGAGAAACGAAACAAATATGCCTAGCTGTCGGAAGTGATATTTCTCGAGGCGCATTTTGTTTTGAGAGTGCAGATCTAGACCTTCTAATATTTTGCATCTCTCAAGATTTAATGCTCCATTTCAATAGAGTGTAAAAATGTAGTTAGTAGGCCAATGACTTTCAGTAGATGTAAATGCACCGATCATTCCTCTCATCGAAAGGGGGCTCAGCTAGTAATAAATAAATGAAGAAGCCTTGGTTGAAGCAAATTGATGACGAATAAGCGAAAGCGACAGGCAAAGTTCATTGGACACACAATGCGGAAAGAACCATTTGAGAATATCGTAACAACTGGCAAGTTTGATGGAAAAAGAGGCAGAGGCAGACATGGGGAAAAGATACTTTACAGGTTGACAACATGGCACCGAACTGAAAGAACGACAGCCACCATCGCTGCAACGCAAGACAGAATGAAGTGGAGGTCCATGATCGCCCACACCGGTCGGCAAGGCACAGGATGATGAATAATGACTGATAAATTCAGCACCAATTGACAATTGATACCTGATGGTAAACGGATCTCTCTGACTTTGACACTTGCCAGAGCAATTATAGTCTTAGGGTTCATACTACTGGGGTGCACTTTCAAAGAATTAACGAGTAAATCTACGCATGTGTGTGTGCGTGCGTGCGTGTATGTGTTTGTGTGTGTGTGTGTGTGTGTGTGTGTGCG